AAGTGATCCACCTGTCTTGGCCTCTCAAATTGATCTTAATTGTGATTCTCATCACCTCATGTTGAAGGAGAGAGGAGGAGGGAGCAGCAGGGGTGGAGTGACTAACAGGTAGGTCAGATGCAGTCTTTGGCAGTCCTTTGGACAACATGAAGACAGGGTAAAACAAATAAGTATTCCAAAATCTAAACTCAGGATGATGAGGAAGGAACCCAGAAAGTTTCTCACTGTTGCCTTTCTGATGAACTTAACCTGCTGGGGTACATCAACTCAAACATCTATCACTTGCCTGAATATAGCTGATTTCACAAAAAGGAGAATCCATGATGTCGTCATTTGCTTGGAGGAAATCTCTACAAGTCAGGGAGGTCTTCTCACCCAATCCCCTCTGCCCAGCCATGGGGCAGTGAAGGTCAGGCTGGCTTTCCGGGTCTCAGCTTGTGAGCTTGTGAAATGATGGGTCTTGCTAGACCTGAGCTGTCCCATCCAGAAGCCACTAACCCTGTGCCACTATTGAGCACCTGAGATGTGGCTAATGGAACTAAGAAACTGTATTTTTACTTTTCTTTAACTGTCATTAAAAGGTAAAATTTTTAAACCAATATTTGATTCAATTACTGAAAAGGTTTTTAATATGTTTGGAATAACAGTGGTAGATCTACTTTTTTAATAGTAAATTTTATGAAATGTAATTATACCTCAAGCATTTCTAATGAAAATGTAGTATCTGAACTGGGATAAGATATAAGTGTAAAATACAAACAGATTTTGAAGACTTAGTATAAAAATAGAATATACATGTCTCATTGATAATTTTTATATTGATTACATGTTGAGATAATTTTTTTGAACATATCAGGTTAAATAAAATATACTATTAAAATTAATAATGGCACATTATGTTTCTATTGGTTGGTGCTGTGCTAGATGGTTCTAGCTTCCTTACAGCAACCATCTATTTGCAGCTTCCGTAGTGAATGTATACCGGAGAGGATGGGAAGCCAAAGCAGAAATTCTCCTCAACCTACCAAGATTTTTATTTAACGCAAAGGTGAAACAATAGCCTTTCCTAGCCATTTTCCTACATACTTCTTCCAAACTCAACATAGTTTAAATAGTATGTCTGGCACAGTACAAACGTGAAGGGCTGCTTTGCTCTATCCTGGGCCACTCCAAGCTGACTCAGTGATTTTCTCCTTCAGTTCTCATAACTGTGTCAGGTTGATGGTTACTTAGTGCCTGCACCAGCCTGGGGCTGAAACAGAGGCCTGGCTGAAATAAAAAAATGACCTCCCTTCACCACAGAATCTCACTCTCATGACTCCCTTAAAACCCTCAAAAAATTATCAACACAGTTCTAATGCACAGATCATACTCCATCCTCCATGAAACACAATGAGGATTTTCTCTTCCTTCTTTTTTGTTGTTCTAGATCATCTCATTCTTCATCTCTTCCATTCATATATATTGAGGCCCTTCTTTGTGCCAGGCACTGTGTTGGGCATGGGATAAGTTCTTTGCACATACCTTACCCTCAAGGAGATTACAGTCTGAAAGGTAGCTACATGCATAGTAATTAAACATAGTGTGATGGGGGAAATACAGACTATGCCTGTAGTATGAGGAGGAATGCCAACTAGAAGAATTACCAAGGAGCTGACTCTTGCAGGTACTCCTGAAGGAAGGTAAACAGGAGAGAGGGCATTCCAAGAAGAAAACACAGGACATGGAAATACATGGTGGCAGAAGCCTATCACAGCACCTTGGAAAATCCACATAGTTGGGTCTTTCTTGGATGTAAAAAACCAAAGTATGAGAGGGACATTGCAGGAGGGGGATAGCCAAGATGAGGCCATAAAGCTTCCACTTGTAAGATGCCATGAAGAGGAGGGGAAGATCAGGGAACTCTTTACAACTATCACCAGGTTGTAGAAATTTCCTCCCCCTTCCTCCAGTGTGGCTTGCATCTTTCCAGCAGATTAAGAAATTCTCATTCTCCCGGGGGGGGGCGGTGGTGCATAGAGAATTTGATGTTTCTAGAGACCTCTACTATTATCTATGTCATTCAACAGCATTTCTTGGGTGCTTATTATAAGCCAGTCACTGACTCACTAAAATAAAGAAGCAGACGACTGGCTCCCTAAGCTCAGGACCTCATGGTCGGCCCAGAGAGGGGGTCATAATAGGCAAAGGAAAGGAAACCTGGGAAGGACCATAATTTTTTCCCCTTTCTTGCTACTTGGGAATAAAATTATGTGTTTAAAATATATTGGGGGCAAAGGTATTCTGCTTCTTTCCCTGCAGAGAAGGAAGGTCTAGCCTTGTTGAAAGAACAGTATTCATGGAGACTTTATTCTTAAATCTTCCTTGTTTATATCACTCTCTAAAGTGTTTCTCATAACAGATCATTATGATCAAAAATTAACACCCACTATGATGAGAATGTTCATTACAGTGCACAGTAGAGAAAAGATGCTTAAGCTTGGGCAAATCCAAAATACCTTCCCCTTCATTTTCAAAAGTAAAATGGGAATGCGTAAGAATTTTAATGCACTATAATCCATTAGTGGCAGAACAAATCAATGCTCTGAGATCTTTAGTGTGAATATCATTAAACTGTCCATAGTCAAACAATGACAAAAAATAATCAGCATGCCTTCCTCCATCATGGGCAACAGCAAGCCAAAATGGATGTTATATCTGCTACAGTTTCAAATATTAGCCACCCAAGAGCCTCACTGTTTCATAAAATTCAGTAGATGTTTTCTGACTCTGAAAGACACAGTTGTCGTGAAAACATTGCCACGGCTCAAACCCCACATTGGAGCTGACCCACATCTGCTGCATGGTAGAACCTCACTGCCAACTGTCCACTGCTCCATGCAGCTCTCCTGCCAACCACCTCCCCACAGCAGGTGAAAGCGAGCACCAGCACCTTCAATGGCCGGGCAACTGCCGGCAGCCAAGGGTCAAGGCATCATCACCTGTGGTGAGGGGCAGTTTACTGAACCTGAATTGAAAGGTTTTTCTGTCTAAATCCATCCAGGATTGCTTAAATGTCAAGAACTACAGTAGCTAGCTTTGAGTTCTGTATTGTAGAATTTGAACCATCTAAACTCCCTTCACCACAAAAAAGCTCGATGAATCTTGAGAACAAAACAGAAAGAATGTCTGCCAATAGCTGAGAAATAAATTCCCCCTTTCCTGCTGCTTGGACCACAGCATAATGAGGGCTCCCAAGCTCTCCTTGCAGTAATAAAATGGAATGTACAGTCTTTTCCTTTTGATGTGTTCCAGTTTACAAGTTTAGAGCTGATGCCTTTTCATCCTTAATTTATCTTCCCTTGTAAATATTTCTTTACCACTTCTAATATCTTAAGTATACATTTTAAAAAATAATTCACTCCTTCTTCTATTTCAGTTGTATAACTTTATGCTATGGGTCAAATTTTGGGCTAAACAAATATGCCTCCAGCTACAGCTCTGCAAATACCTCTGGCAGCAAATTAAGTCAAACAAATGTTTTGGTTGGGTGGTGAGGATGTTTTTTAACGATCTTCCTGTTCTTGTCTGAAGGCCCAAGGACAGACTAGGTGAACTCTCACAGACTTTTCTAATTTTGTATTTCCTTTTTCTTTTCTTTTCTTTCTCCTCCCATCCCCGACCCCTAACTTTGTATTTTCACCCACGTTAATAAACAGGTCTCTTTGTTGCAGTGGTTGGTTTACAAGCTCACCACCAGAGGGTGCTACTTGTTTGTTTCTGAAATTCATTTCACTTGGGCTTGGAAAATAGAGGCCCTGCTACTAAAGAATTGTCCCTACAACAGCTTGTATAGGAATGATTTTTCAGAAGGCCTGATGGCACCCTGGACTTCAAGGAATCTGATTAATTTTGTTTTTGGCATTATTTATTTAGAAGCAAAACTGAAAACCTGCAGCTTGCACAAACCAAACTGCACTAAGTTATATATTTCTTGCAAATCACTAAATGGGGAATGCTAGTCATTTTTGCACTTCATGGCTTTTGTCCATATTTACTACATAACTATAAGGAATCCAGAATTCCAACATCCTCTTCATCACATGGAAGAATAAAATAACAAAGAGAGGATTTGCTTTGCTATAACAACAACGTTAGCCTCTAACAATGAAACTTTTTACTTGTCCTATTTTCAGTCTACACATCTCCCTTTTCTGTTTTTGCATAATCTTGCTTTGGTATAATTTTTGAATTCTAGGGAGTATTTATCACCTTCAACTTCTCTTATTAGAGTATTTTTATGATTATCGGATATCTGTATTTAAATTTTTCACTAGATATTTTCTGGCATACACAAAGAAGGTATAGAGTTCGATTTCCATTCACCTATGTGGAGTTTGCGTCTGAAAATACTTTTAAATTGTGGTCAGAAACTCTTGTGTGTTGTCACCTCAATTGGTAAACCAAATCAGTGGTCAGCAAAGGTTTTCTGTAAAGAACCAGGTTAAAGTAAAGATTTTGGGTTTTGTGAGCTATAAGGTCTCTTTCACAACTACTTGACACCACCACTGCAGCAAGAAAGTAGCCATAGACATAAATGGTTGGATGTAGCTGTATTCTAATAACATGTTATTTCTAGGAACAGGTGGTGGGCTATAGTTTGCTGACCCATGCAAATGATGAATTTTAATGTATGCTTAATATTCGTAATGTATGCTTATTGATAAAATTGTTTCTATTATATTGTTCTTTGATGATTTTTGTTCTCCTCACACAATTCTGACGTAGTGAGAAAAGCCTCACTAGTTTATCTAATTTAAAGTTTCCAGGTCACTTGGAAGAGTGTCACTGAGTTCCTTCTCCATAGCTTTCAAACTCAGAGGAGTCTTTGGCTTTCAGTGTGTCACTATGTTTGCATCCTCTTATGGTAGAAGGAAGACCTCTTATGGTAAAAGGAAATCAACAAGAAAGATGTTACTTCCTGGTGATTTCTCCAGAGATAATATGGAAAGTAAGCAAAGACACAGTTTACCTTCAGACTGATGTGTGGCAAGAGGAGTCTGGGTCTCCTTTGAGTAAGACACTACTTCCCTTGGCAGAAAATCCACTTGGGTGACCTTTGACACGCCCAGCTTATGCAGTCTTCTTCTGTAAGTAACAAAAAATAAATGCTTAGAAACAGAAGACATTCCTTGCAAAAGAGCTATCAGTAATATAAAGAAAGCACTAAAACAAACAAACAGCAAATACCCCTAGCTTCTGAGTGCAAGGCGCTGGATCATGAAGCAGAACTGGCTCTGGGCTAGAAGTCAGGACACGTGGGCTCTTGGCCCATGTTGGCCATAATATGTTGGGTGATGTCAGATAAGACCCTCAGTTTTCCTATCTGAAAAGTCAAGTCTTGGTCCAGTTTACATGAGACCTCTTCCATTCTGAGCATCCCCGATTCTGCTTGGTTAAAATTTATTCAGGGAACTTTCACTTGCAATACCGGATTCTAGTTTCTTAGCCAAGAAGGAGAAAGGAAAAGTAATGCTTCTTAAATTTGAGAAAAAAAGAGAAGTGGGTTCCTTAGTGGTGTAACACTCTCTATCATAGCAGTGAGGGGATTGTATTTCAAGAATGAGTATAACACTTCTCATTTCTGCAGAATAGGAACTAACACAGATCAGCATATAAATTTAATTGAAAGACACACTGATACAGAACAGATGAGTGAAAGGGGGCACTGGGTTCAGAGTGATAAAGCCTTAGAAGAGCATTCTAGACCTAACTGTGACCACGTAAAAAAACATTTCTGAATATTTATGTAGCACTTGAAGGGTTTTCAGCAGTCTTTAGATCCATTATGTTACATGTTTTTATAACACCTCTATGAAGTATGTCGACAGATGTTATCATCTCCATTTTACAGGTGAGGATAGTGAGATTCTGTTAAGAGATGTGCCCAAGTATATACAACTCATACATGGTAGAAGAAAGGTTATGAGTCTTGGTCCAGTGTTTTTCTACCAACCAAAACTCCTAATTAAGGTTCTTACTAGTGAGTCCCTGAATAGCTGTACAAATCTGAAGTGCCTCCTAAGACATGCAGGAAGCATCCAGTAGTGGAGGTATAATAGTATCATCTGGTGGTTAAACACATAGCCCCTAGCCCCACCATTGAACAGCTGTGTGTATCTCATCTTGAACAAGTCACTAAGTTCTCTGAGCCTCAGCTTCCTCATCTGCAAAATGGAGACAGAGGTACTTTCTAATATGGTTGTTACGGGTAATGTATATGTACTGCATACACATAATGCATATGCCACATATATGTCACATAGTAATATGTACATAATTTACAAACATATATATTTTAAAACAGCTTCTGGAACATTGTTTTTAGTATAGCTAGTGCTCGATTTACGACCACGATTGGTTCCGACAGACCGGTCGTAACACGATTTGGTCGTAAGTTGAGTAGGCTATATGTACAGTACTGTGAAATGATGTTATAAAAATCTTTAAGTCATATTTTATCATAATTTTCTTTTATTATTGTTATATATCATAATTTTCTTTGTTCATTTTATGCCATTTGTATCATCTCTACACCATTTTGTTTCTTATTTTTACATTCGTCAGGTTTAAGTAAAACACTGCATTACCAGTATAACTCGTTTAATATTTGCAAAACATACAAAATTACAAAATACAGGTGTAAAAAATACCATAGGAAACATTTTCCCAATTGCAAAACATATCAAAATATATAAACATGTACGAAATATTTTATTGGCCACTGGTGCTTGGCTGTGGATCGTTGATGTCGTCATCTGAGGCAGCAGTTGGGGTTACCGGAGTTGGTTTTTTCATAAACATGGTGAGCTTTGTCTGAATTGTATGTTTCTTTTTTTCTTCATAAATTTCACGATACGGACGAAACACATCGTGCGCCATCCGTTCAATCCTTGCAAATCGTTCGATGTTTGGGTCCATTGCTTCGAAATGTACAAGAAGTTTATTGGGAGGGGTTTGATGAAAAATATCCAAGACACAAAACACAAATTGCTGTACCGAGTCTGGGATAACAGTTGAAATGGTGCACGCGGAGATGGTAGTGCTGCCGGAAGCTGGTCCGCACTGTCCTACGCCCAGCTGGGCAACGTTTGTGCTGCCAGATGCGGAGCAGTCGTGGCTAGCGATTGTGGTAATAAAGTCAAATGGTCGTAAGTTGCATAGGTCGTAAGTCGATCAATACCTGTATATAGTTATTTTAGTATACAGTTATATTATTAGTATTAGACATATTCTACTGTATTTCTAAAAATTTCCAGGCATGGAGTGTACGTGTCTCTGTGAGAGAAAATGAAAAAAAGATATACTATCCATTTAGCCAAATTCCTGCATTCTCTAGCGCTCTAGGAGCAACAGAAGTATACTTTATGCATATTATTGTTCTTAATTGTTACTAGCAGATGGCACAGCCTTATTTTTCTTTAAATTATTATTAATAGGAATAAGTGAGAGAATGCATGACACAGCTAGGAATTTTCACACACAATTTCCCAAACACTGTAGGAAAACAAAAATTCTTCTTGTCTATGAGTTACTAAAACAATTGAGGTGAGATCTAAGATGTGCTCGAAGTAGGTATAAGCAAATAAACAAACAAATGCTGGTTAGAGGACAAGCCTGGCTGGCTGTCTCTGTGGGTCTAGGTGAATGTGGCTACAGCCCAAGTTCCATGCAGGCCTGGGCCGCATGGGCCTGTTTCACTAGGAGCTCCGGGCCACAGAATGCAAGAGAGGCCACCGGGCCCGGGCTGAGCTTTGCACAAGTGACAAACCTTGTAGCCTCCTACACAGAAATGGGGAAAGCACATACTACATATCAGAAACAAAATCACCAAACGAGGGAAAAGCCTCAAAGTTTCAAAATAAGATATTCAAGGGAGTATTTTAAAACCTCCTTGTGTCAGAAAAGAATGTTTTCCTGCCTGAAATGGGTCTTTCTTGAAGCATCTAAAGAAGAAAACATGAAGAGACATCGCAGGCATGCTTGAGGCAAAGCCTCTCTGCAGCTTACTGGTACACAGCATCTTTCTGAGGCCCCAGTAGATCAGTCTTTATTATAAACAAGGAAGTGGAAAATAATTCACTTCAAATTAAGGCCACCCCAGCACAGAGAGATCGCCCTAACCCCTCGACTTCCCTGGGCACCTGAATGAGACCCAGGGAGCTCCAGTTCTGGTTAAGTGGTAGCTATACCTACAGGCAGGAGTTCCAGGACATCTTGCTAACATGAGAAAGCAGAAGGCCTATGTCATTTGGGACCAGCAACAAGCGCTGGGCAACCGGAGGCTGAAGTGTAATTTGATACTCCACCATAGCGGACTGAAACCAGCAGGTGAGGCCTGTCATGCATTCATTCCAAAACTGGGTTCACAGCCCTGCTTTGAACTTATAGCTGAATGGTAGGGGAAAGCTTTGGACAAGTGACACTTCTCTAAGCCTCATGTTTCTTATCTGCAAAATGGGTACCTATCATTGAGTTGTGAGGACTGAATGAAGATAATGCTTGTACAGCACTTAGTTTCGTGCCTGGTACATATCAAGCGGCTCTTGGCTCAAGCAGCTCTACTTTAATTTATATTTTTTGAGGATTATAATAATGTTTATAGTTGAAAAAGAAAATTAGAGAAAGCAGATTTAGGAGTGTCCTAAATTAAAGATTCCTCAAGATTAGTAAGATGATCTCTGACAATGATAATCATACTCCCAATTTCTTTATATGGGCACATCAATAGAATATACCTGTTTGGGAGAGTTCCTTTGCTTTTCCTTAACTTATTTTCCTTTTAACTTATATTTTCAAAATGTAGGTAGAGTAAATGTGTTTATCCCACTAAAACAAAACCTTATCTTTTCTCAATAATTATTGAAAAGTTTCAACCAGTTTTTCACTAATGCTATGTTTGTGAGTTCAGGGTCCCAACTGTACCCAAGACATCTAAAAGAAATAAAAGCTGAGTTGTCATCATGACAGTCTCCCAATGCACTGATCAGCTGAACGCCAATAGCCTTGTGGTTCTTCTGGCTTGATGGTGAATCTGTCTCAAATAATTTATAATTTTAAAGCAACTCCTTAGAACACTTCTTAGAGGGTACTGGTAGATTACTGTATCTTTCCATATAATCTTTGGATGGATGAAGCTGCATTAATATCAAATGCTTTTATTCTTTATGCCTATTTTGCTGCTGTTTTAGTAACCAAGGACTTATAATATGCCAAACACTTTTCATACATCATCTTCTTTTATCCTCATTAACATTTTATATTATATTCCAATTTTACAGATGAGAAAACTGAGGCTCAAGTGATGTTAAGAAATTTTCCAAAATCACAAAGGTAATGACAGAATTAGGCCTTGGCTCTATGCAAAAGTAAGTCCCAGGGCCATGTACTTAAAAAACTTTGAAACTGTACTTTAAAAACCTTGTTCTCCTGCATGTTCTCTAATGCATTATGACCACCCACTCATTGAGGCAAACTTCTTAAAACCTAACATAGAGATCCAAGCATGTGTGATCATTTTATAAGCATGAGAAAGAATTATGAGAAGTAGCCTGATTTAGATTATCAGGACGTCATGAAAGGATTATGTTTCTGAGTTTAAGTACCACACAATCACTCCCAGCCCTAGCAGGTCCAGAAAGAATGACCAGAAGGTGGCAGCCTTTCATAGCAAAGACCTTCTGCTTAGGGATGTTCTCTAAGTTAAACTAAGCAAAGGAGAAAGAATAAGACAACACTGTGGGATTCATACCATTGTAGTTCCCGTGCCTTCTAGTTAGGCTACAGATTCCATGCTGGCTCCTCAGTTCTGACTCTGTGATACCTTTCCTGCCATCCTACCACCCGTCCTGCATAGCTCAGGCCCTGTTCACTGTACACCCAGATACTGCTGCCATAGCCCTTGGTAAATGTCACTGTACAGTCATGTGTGGCTTTATGATGGGGATACCTTCTGAGAATTGCATGTTAGGCAATTTTGTCATTGTGCAAATATCACAGATTGTACTTATGTAAACCTAGATGCTATAGCCTAATACACA